GCCCCCCCCCCTGGTAGCCACATCCCGTCTGTGCTGCGCTGTATAAACCCCTCTCTGTTCCACTGGCTGCTGGAGACTGTTCTGGCTGCTACGGGGGTGCAGGATCGGGGAAACCCCGACGCGCCGTCACAGACCCACAAAGCTGCGCTCTGGACCCCCTGTTCCTGGCTCTGGATCCGTCTCCCTGCCCGCACTGCCACGCCCCCCAGTTCCCAATGGTGCTGTGCCAGAGCGCGCTCGCCGTGGGGCTGGAGGCAGCAGTCTCGTCAGGGCCCGGGGTGATGTGCACCTCTGCTCCCGCCCAGTGGTACTGCCCCACACGAGAACGGCCCTACTGGGTCAGATGAAGGGCGCTCGTCTCTGGCCGCAGTAGCTGCAGGAAGGTGCCACCAGCCCGGGGAGCCCGAAGCCTGGCTAAGGCTGGCAAGTCTGCAGAGCCAGGCCGCAATGAGGCCCTAGAGTCAGGCCTGCTCTGATTTCCCAGCTTGGCAAGTTCCCCCCGGACCCTCCCGAGGCGTGGGGAGGGGGGCTACAGGCATGGATGCTTGTGTGGCACTTGACATTGGAAAAGGTTCAGAAAAGGGCAACAAAAATGATGAGGGGTTTGGAATGGCTGCCTGGTGAAGAGCGATTAAAAAGACTTGGACTTTTCAGCTTAGGAAAGAGGAGACTAAGGGGGGAGATGACCGAGGTCTATAAAATCAGGACTGGCGTGGAAAAAGTGAATAAGGAAAAGTTATTTACTTGTTCCCACAATATAAGAACTAGGGGGCCACCAAATGAAATGAATAGATAGCAGGTTTAAAACAAACAAAAGGAAGGGTTTTTTTTTTTTTCACTAAGTGCACAGTCAACCTGTGGAACTCCTTGCCAGAGGATGTGGTGAAGACTAGGACTTTCCCAGGGTTCCAAAAAGAGCTAGATAGATTCATGGAGGTTAGGTCCATCAATGGCTACTAGCCAGGATGGGTAGGAATGGGGTCCCTAGTTCTGTTCACTCCCACTGGGGTACCGGGCACTGGCCCCTGTGGGCAGACAGGACACTGGGCTAGACGGACCTTTGGTCCGACCCAGCCCAGCCACTCTGATGCGCTTATCAGAGTCTGTCTTTGTTAGTGCCTTGGAAGGGGCCCGGCAGGTGCTCTGGGCAAGGTTGCTTCTCCCGAATGGCCCTGGGTCCTCTGCTGAGGTGCTGCTTGGGAGCTCTCCGAACCCCCTGGCCTGGAGCAGTGAGGGGCTCCGTGTAACCCCGTCCCAACGGTCTGTGCAGAGCCAGGGCAATGGCCATTTCCTGCCCCAGTCCCTGGCAGGATTCCTGTTGGCTCCCGGGGGCAGGATCAGGGTGGGCCCTTGGGGGGTGCAGGTGGCTGGGCCGCTCTGCCGGTGACTGCTCCGTCTCCCTGCCTTGTGTTTCAGAGGGAGCTGAAGGAGCAGCTCCAAGCGCTTCAGGACAGCGAGCGCGGCCACACCGAGGCCCTGAACCTGCTCAAGCGGCAGCTGGCCGAGACCAAGGTACCGGCCTCTCGGGTTCTGAGCCCCCGCGGGGCGGGGGGGGGGCGGATCTGGACCGCCCACAAGGGCCCAGCTGTGGCCTGTGGAGATGAAGGTCCCAGCAGCCTTGGGGGTCTCAGATGCAAGGAGCTGCTGTCGGTGGCCGGGCCAATTGATCTTTCAGAGCCGCCTTCTCCCCCAGCCCTGCTGTCCCCAGGCACGAGCCCAGCTCACAGGAACTGCGGGCCGGAGGGTCCAGGCCCGAGCGTCACACACGTTCAGAAGCCAGACTCCTGGAGACCAAGCAGGCCTGTTGGGTCCCATTGGCTGGCCAAGGCAGGGCGGTTCCTATTGCAGCGTTTCCTCATGCGGCACCCAGCCGTGCTCCCATGGGTCACCCACAGCCCGCCTGGCCGTGATGGATCTAGAAGCCACCTGCTGGGCCGGGCATCCCTGCCCCAAGCTGCTGTGCCCTGCTGCCTGCCGGGCCGGGGGTGGCTCGGGCGTGCACTCGGAGGTGCGGGGGCGGCAGGGCCGTGCTGTTCCTTGGCCTGCGGCCCTCGGACTCCCGCTGAGGCCCAGGCTGCGCAGTCCAAGGAAAGCGCCAGGGCCTCCGTGATGGATCTAGAAGCCACCTGCTGGGCCGGGCATCCCTGCCCCAAGCTGCTGTGCCCTGCTGCCTGCCGGGCCGGGGGTGGCTCGGGCGTGCACTCGGAGGTGCGGGGGCGGCAGGGCCGTGCTGTTCCTTGGCCTGCGGCCCTCGGACTCCCGCTGAGGCCCAGGCTGCGCAGTCCAAGGAAAGCGCCAGGGCCTCTCGTGGGACATCAGTGGACGTGAGGGGCCTCCGTGCCGCTGGGGGTGAGGCAGGAGAAGGCAGGTGCTGTGACCCTGTGGACGCGGAACCCAGGCCCAGAGAGACGAATGGCCGAGCATCTGGTACCCCACCCAGCTGGGGGCAGCTCAGCTCTTGGGACTTGCCCAAGGTCATGCCAGGGGCCGGTGGCAGAGCCAGCTCCCTGCCCCCGCACCCTTCCCTGGGGCCTCCACATTCCTCCTGCCAGGACTGCTGGGCTGAGAAACGCCTCCCAGGAAGTGTCTTTCCCACGGCCCCAGGCCCCTTTCCTTCTGCCCTCCCTGCCACGGGAGTGGTCACTAACCTGCTTTTATTCGGCTCCTCGCTCTTCCTGCCGGTGTGGCTGTTGGAAAGGTGACTTACCCCTGGGCGACTGCCCTTTCCTTACCTGGCAGGGTCGGTTCCTCGCTCCAGCAGCTGATGGCCGAGGCAAAGCAGAGGGTGTAACGGGGGCAAGGCGAGGGGCCCTTTGATTTCCTGAGAGCCTTTTCTTTCAGAGAGCTGCCCTGGGGGCACGTGCCTGGCCATGGAGCGGGTGGGGCTACAGCAAGTGTTTCCCTTGGAGAGAGCGGCTGCTTTAGTGTCACCTCAGTGTGACTGGGTCTGGCTCTACGTGGCCAGTGGGGCGGGCACCCGTCTGGAGAGCGTGACGCAGGCGTTGCCCCCCACTGGGCTGAGGAGGGGAAGAGGGACCGGTCGAATGTCTCATTTTCATGCTGTTTCCCCACGACCGCGGGGGCCAGACGCATCGTGTATTTTTAGGGAAAACCGAAATTCTCGCGATGACGGGACTCCAGGCGCTGGGGCTTTAAGCAATAGACCAGCTGTTGAGAGAGGCACACGGCGAGCGACCCGCCTTCCTCTCACACAAGGGGCCTGGGCTCTGCTAGCGTGGGCTGCCGGGGCTTCGACAACACAGCGCTCGTGCTGACACAGGCCTGGCCCCCTCGATCCCTCCCCGCTGGGATATTGCCTGGCCCCACAGCGACTGCGAGACATGCCAGGCCCAGCCAGAGAGCAAGGCTGAGTGTGGGGGGGCACTGGCAGAGCTGGGGGTGGGAACCTCAGGACCAGGCAGTGGGGGGGAGGGAGAGAGAGTGGCAGAGCTGAGGGTGGGGAGCTCAGGGCCGGGCTGTGGCAGGGGGGGGCAGAGCTGGGGGCAGGGAGCTGAGGGCCGGGCAGTG